TGATGCATTCGTGGTATATTGGTCTATATTGATCGCATATCGCCATATCCGAAGCGCCGCGAAGCAGGTTTAACGTCAATTAATTTGAAACTTCGGCACACAGCAATTGCGCGGGAGCGAGAAAGACGAACGGAGGAAGGTAGGATAGATGGGATTTCAGGAACTTGTGAAGATCTGAATATTGCCAATGAAATTAAGGGGAGAGCGAAGGAAGTACATACGACAGGTATACCGTGTTACACAGTTTCGCTGATAATATTATAACTATATCCTATATAGTTGGATACGACCAATTTTCCTCTTATCAATTATTATCGTAGCTAAACTACGATTAGTTAACTATTAACCTTGTGATTGCGAGACGAAAATGAGAAAAAAATACTGTACAATCGGTTATATTATTTTTACATTGCTTTTTTCATCGCGAATCTCGTTTAAATAAATTTTTTTCCCCGTTCTGTTTCTCATTTTAATAATATTTATTAATGCAAATATAAATTGGTACAAAATAAATTATTTCGCCAACTCATTTAAAGCAAAACATATCTTCTGTAAAAATATTTTGTTATCCATAATTTAAAGATTGAAATTAAAGATTAATATTATCTTTACCACAATTTTCCAGTTCGCGTAAACGCGATGCAAAATGTCACTGCACGCCGCCGTACTTTACTCTCCCCTGGGTACCCTGAGACCACCGAATAGCTAAACTACCAGAACTGCCGCGTAGTTTAAGAAGCATTGAACGCAATAGGCAAATTCGCGCGGCCAGGCTCGTGGTCTCGCCGTGCTCGCCAACGTTGTATATCACTGGCCCCATGAGAAACTGATCCTATAAACTACACACGTGAAATCAGAATGCCGGCCATTAAACGCGATCGCATAGCGGCGAGCGGTCGATGACGTCGCCGAATTAATTCAGCCGGCTCATTGCGCCTCCGAGATTCCAGCCGTTCAAATATTCTCTCCGTGCGTTTCACACATTGCTCCCAATTTTTTAACATGTTACCTCTCTACAAATTATCGGACGATTACATTTCATTAAATATCTTAAACACTTTGTGGCTAACTAATGAGTTTCGTATTTGAAGAAGAGACGATTCATTCTACGCCGGCGGTACGCGCGCACGTCCCGCGTATAATATCGCAATAAGCCGCGATTTAGTGAGTCGTCGAGCCGGAGAGGAGAGACGCGTCGTAAAATTTTTCCCCCGCCGTCTATATTGAGTTCCGCCGACGCGCGAGCGACGACTCCTCTCGCTTCCATTAAGATAGATACCCCATCCCTCGCTTACACAGCGAAAGCAGTTCCGTAGGAATTCGACGGCGTGAATACGCGGTCTGATAGCCCCGGAATGCCAATGAAGAAAGGACTGCGCGGAATGAGTAATAATAAAAATCCGCATCCGCACACGTATATACGCGTACGCCTGCCAATTTGCAGCGGAATACTCTCATTGATCGCGCCAGAATTCGCGAAATTTCCGGCTCGGATATTAATAACCAATCCTCGACTTCGCGCGAATCTCATATCTGTCGCGAGTCGACGTATCGCTCGTATGCTTTCTCGAAGGAACCTCGCCCGTTTCGTAACTCGCTTTTCTACGCGGGGCGCAACCGACTCGCATGATCCCGGGCTCACACGAAAATACGATTGCACGCCCATACACACGTGATCGCGATACGTATCGCGGTGCCATGGCCCCGCGTATATAGGTCAGTTATATACGGATCTCCGAGTGCGCGACGCCAACATGCATCTACAGTAATGACGTAGATATGGCGTAGGCTCTATTTAAATACATCGAGTCGAATATTTCTCTTCCCGCCATCCTTTTTCCCCTCCGCATCGTATCCGCATTCGGTATTGTATTTTGTGGCTGCCTATCAGTTTTTCAACACCGAGCGTATTTATATGCGGTTATTGGAACAGACAATCTTTACTTATGATCGCTTATCAGACAAACTTGTCTCGCTCGTGCTACAAAGTAAACAATACAGGAACGTAAAATGGGTCGGAATATATTGTCGTTTGCGAAACCGACGTCTATTTTGACGTTGGTCGATATTTTTCTGACGAACACAAACAACCGGAGGGTTTGTACATACGGAGTGCTACTTTTGTCATTGAGATTCGATTAGACGACGCACACCAATTCGCGATAACGAGACGCTCGGGTTGAGTAATAGATTCACATTATGCCAGCCCGCATGGATTTCCTCTGCCAACGCCGTGACGTATCACGCTCGCGAGTTACCGTGCGTGGTAACTTCGTCATAACACCGAGGGCTGGCATTAATTTAATGTTAGCGCGCGTGGTAGGGGAACTAATTATAAAATGCATGTTACGCGGTCGTTTTCAAGTTCCCACGTTGGTGAATTCAACTGTTTGCCCACTTTGTTTGATACCGATTGTGTATTTTATAATGTTGGATCGTGATGTGTGTGTGGGAAAAATGACTTTTAAAATTCTGACGTTCTCTTTGATTTACAAAAAATTACCAAAATCTAATTTTCGTCGAATTAATTAATTAATTAATTACTTATGACAGTCGTAATACTAATCTGTGATCTTCGTCATCGTATTTAAAAAATTATTTGTGAGGTAAGAAGTTTAATTGGATTTTTTTTATCATAAAAATCTCTTTAAATTACCGAGATGGCGATTTTCGTATCCCACAACCGTCGCACGAGCGTGTACGCTTGTGACACGTAACTGTTTTTTACGACCAGGAAAATAATCCCGCGCAATGCCGCTGAGGGAGTCGATACACTGACATTATTCAGGCACATAATTCTGCCTTTTCCCTTTGAGAGGAAAAAGATATTTACGTCTTGTGAATATAAAACGAACGTAATACTTCCCTTATCGGCAACGGGATCCCTGTCGTTGCCCTGATTAATAAGAGCGGCAACTTTAACGAGCGCTATTAAAACGACTGCGTGAAATCGAGGAAAATATGCGACGACGTGTGCCACTTCTGTCACGACAGATGAATAATTGCGAAATATAAATCCCGGAATCGAGGAGGGGAAACGGAAGGAGGATGATTGAAGATTATTACGCGAGAACGGTGCTGTATCGCGAACGAATAAAAGACACGGCGAAACACGTTGCTTAATACTTGGATCGTCAATGGGGGAGAGTGATCGGACCGCGTGGTGTTGCATATCGGTGGCAGCAGGTATTCCAGCGGCAGCGAGGATGCGATAGAACGAGAGCAGCGATACCACGCCCGCGTTATTATACGCCGAGTTAACGACAAGATTGTTTCTCAAAGTTAATTTACATCCACCGGGACCCCTAAGAGAAGAGGCAGCGCGCCGATGCCTCCTCGTGCGTGTACGCCCGCGCGCACACAATCTCGCCAAATTAATATTCCGTTCTATTCGGAGAATCTTCGACGATGAGACGAGGCGACATATCGCCGTCGAGCAAACAAGATGGAATAACAGTGGTTAGGTTAACGTGCACGCCGAAATGGTGACGTCGCGATTGCGTATCTCGGAATGCATCTGCTTGTTTGCTTCCGTGGGAAGTTTCACGCATGAAGGAACGCACTTGCGTTATTATGACAGTGACGCCGCAGAGTGGATTACATATCTTTGAGTATTATTACATCTCGCAACGATGACGGATCTAATCGAAGAAAGGTGAAGTTTTGAAGCGCGAATTAGAATTGCTTAACTCAGTGATCGTAAGAGCCACAAATATTAAATGAACTACATTAATGTTGAAAAATTCATGTAATAAATATTATCTCTAAATTATTTTTATTGTTAATATTTTATACTGTAGACATTATAAGTTGTAGAATAAATTTACTTTGCTCATTTAAATAATGATTAATTGAATGAAATCTCTAATATTTAATGAACTTATTCTTTAATATTCTTCAATATCTCTAATATTTGATAAGTTTATTGAATCTGTAATCTACTTTAGCTAACGGCGTTTTCTCTAAACATATAATTAAAATAACATCAATTATAATGAAGAATACGTATGCATAATAAATAATATTAATAATATATTAATAAAGAATATAAACGGATTGCACGATTTTCATATAATTTTGGCAAGACATAATTTTTCGCTGATTTCTCCCAACGCGAATACTTTGAATTTTAAAACGCGTCATTAGTGATTCATTTATTCGCCCGAACACGGTAGTACGACCATACAAGAATGAATACTAAATATCGAGTGTAAAAATATCGCGATCGCCGTAGACGCCGACGACGGTTATATTCTGCGAACGGTAATGCATGCGAAACGTACCCCGCGTTTTCACGCTTTTCCGAGAGCTTTCACGACAGCCGCCGCCGCCGCCGCCGCCGTCGACCAAGTCGCTCGCAAACCATCGAATGCCCTACTATCCCCCCAACCCTCCAAGCCCCTTTTCGTGCTCCCGAGGGTTCGTGCTATGCCCCGATGCTTTCACACACGCGAATATTCCAAGCCGCGGGAGATCGGCGCGGGCTCTCGAGAACGCGACTGTATTATCGGGGGATGCAAGTCGCGTGTCGATAGCATGCCTTCGTGGCTCCGAAGACGGCGGAGTGTGGCGATGAAATTTGAGAAGGATATCGAAAGCGCTCTCCATATACTCCTGCTCCATTGTGGACTTGGACCGGATATAGATACTTGCGATGGTAAATGCGAGAAACATGAACATCATCCAGCTTTCAATATATCATTTCCCTCGTTTGCGTAAAATTAGCCTTTCCCGCGGAGATTAATTAGCGTGCAAAGATGAAAGATTTAACTTGCGTTGTATCGTAAGATAAAGTATGACGGAAAGGAGCAGGATAGATGAATAAAATCGTTAGTTAAGTGGCCTATATATCAAAGTGTTGACAAGAAACGATGTCATGGTGTTCGTATTCGCGAAATGAGACAACGAAGGCCGCATCGGTACACGGCACGCGCCGTGTCTGGGCTCGCGAGGCGTTGCCGGGACGTTACGTACGACTTGACTCAACGAGCTTCTTTCAGGAAACATCAGCGACTCGCAATACATCACGTACATGACAAGTAAGTACAAACAACCGCTCCCGCGGGGGGATGGCGAGCGCGGGCGGGGACGGCGTCCGATGTTATCCGCGGCGGCTAACATCTAGGACGCCGCTCGCGCTCGCGCACACGTAAACTAAGTAACGAGCGTGGACCGTGGCGCGGCTCGTTGGCAAAAATACACTCTCCGCGTGCAGGACGAGGGAACGAGGTCAAAAGTAGTGGACCTCGCGCACGTAACATCGATCACAGGCTCGGAATCGCGCTTCGAGACACGCGCCCGCACGGGCGCGGAGCGGGCTCGCGCCCGTAAATCGGCCTGTTTTCGAGCACGTACCGCTCAATCTCGGCGGGCCGCGCCGGTATCTAAATTTCAAATCCGCTAATGTGTATTTTTGCCATGGTCCCGCGACCGTTCCGCGCTCGCTTCCTCTTCCTCTTTCTCCATCTATCTCTTTCCCCGTGTTATCGGCCGGCTTTCCCGACGCTTTGAATTTCAAATTCCGCCGCGGCCACCGTGTCGGACGCCGCAGCAGCAACCGACTTTCGAGTGTTTCCACCCGCTTATGCGCTGTCATTTGTTTCCGTCGTCCCCCGGCTCGGTATACGTATGCAGACACCGCGATCTACGTTGCGCGGTATCTGGCGCCCCGCACTTTTATTTATGGCGCCACCCTGTATGTATCAGAATTGATTCTGTGATTTATTTCGCGGCCGATAGCACCGGGGCCCGCCGCAGCGGACACGAGAAGGCGAATTTCGAGGCTTCGTTTCGATCTCCTTCGCTTCGACATTGCGTGCGGCGAAACGGTTACGCTGTAATTTCTCACGTCCGCCTTACGGCGACGAGTCTATACGGCTCGCCTGTTCTAGTTCGCCTTAGTGCGCGCTCGTATAACTCGACCGACTCGAGTAACGTGCGCACGCATAACGAGAGACGGCAGAGGGTGAGGTGCTGTCTTTTCCGGGGGAAAAATAACATACTCGAGCATTACGCTAATGCGCGTCGCTTTAACGGCAATGTAACTCCGACGTTATCGTCGACTAATCTTCTGCCGGCAATGTCTTTTAACGGTTCTTGCCGGTCTTCTTAATGCACGGGACTTTGCACCTAATTGCACGCTACGGTCCGACGATCGCGAAAGTTCCTCCGCGTCGCTCGCGCGAGCAACGGCTCGAGCAAGAAAGTCCTCTCTCGCTAGGTGGGGAACGGGAGGGCGCACGACCCCCGGCTAATTGAAGCGCAATTAACCGCGTTAAAACGCCAAGTGCTGATTAGGACGCTACGTCTACGTCGCCCTTGCTCGTCGCGGGGCGACCTACTAATCTATGCGCATACGTGACGCGGTGGTTCTTGCGTAAATTGAAAGTCGTCCTTGCCTTCTCATCGCTCGGCAAGAGTGCACTCGACCGTCGAAATTCGCCGAGGCATTACCCCTCATCCACTTCGACCCTTGACGCCGTTAAGTGCAGCGTCTATGAGTTTCTAAACGATGAGTGAGTTAAAGAAAGTTTAATGACGACAAACAGTTTATTTAATGTAGAATTAAGTGAATCGAGTGAATTTCGATAAATAAATATAAATAAATTGCAAATAAAATTAACAAATTTATTCTTTTAACGCTGACTGTCGAATAAACAATATATACAGTAATTTCTAAAAATAATATAAAATAATGTTAAGAAAAATTGATAGAGAAAAATGTTGGAAATAATTCTGCAATTTTTAGTTGATCTAAAATTATTCTAGAATTGGAACATTGATTTGTCACGTATATAGTTAATATTTTACAAATTTACAATTTTAGGTTATCGGTAAAATTGCGCATCACTATTTAGATCAGCAGTGTTAGCAAATACTAGTTACATAAACTATTATTGTTGACGAGACATTTATTAGTTAAAATGTAATCACATGGCACGAAAAGAACCGTCTGAACGGTAATTTTAAAACACTATAAAAAGATGTGTACACGGTTTTTTCGGGGTTGGATATTTCAAAACCGACTTCGAACGCGCACGACGAGACTTCGTGAATATGCAGAAGTTTGCTAAATCCGCCAAGAGAATTCTCCCGTTGGGACTTCGATTGTTCTCTCCGGATGCCGCAAGAAATCGTCGTCGTCGTCGTCGTCGTCATCGGGACACTCGGAGAAACGCGAGCGCGGCTAAGAAACGTTAATTGCGCCGAAGATGTCGTCGGAACGCCGCGGAGGCGTCGTCGCCGCCGCTACTGCGATTTTACAATGAGTTGGAGGCGACGGTGGATCGCGTTCGGATTCGCCGCCGGCGGTGGTTCCGGCGCGACGAAGGACGGCTGCGCGGGGTGTACCTACCTACCGTATTTAGAATATTGCCGGCATACATCTGCATAAATTCAACGCAGGCCCGTCGACATTCGCTTCGCACACCCACCAACTCCCGGACTTACATACCCGTGAAGACGCCCCCGCAACACGGGGGAGGGGGGATGCTCGGTAGACACGAGGGGAGGTTGCGCGCCCCCAAAGGTGCCGTAAGCGTCACACCGCTCGTAAAGAAACCGTTCGTGACGCCACCTGAAAGTCCGCCCCGGGTCGAGACGAGAGGGAAAAAGAAATAAAAATTCATGACACGCCGCGCGTTATAGAGATATCTTCGACATGTATTATCGCGCGCGTGCGAGAGAGATTAAAGTATCCCGACGAAACGTGCTCGGTAACCGATCATCCATCCTCGATGGAAACGCGTGCCGCCATCGCCGACGCGCGAGCACGGGGCGGGACACAGGAAGGGTGGTGAGGTGTGCAAATGAAAAAAGAAAAGACGATGCGACGAGCAGGAGGCGGATAAGAGGCGGGAGAGAATCGGCAATATCTATATTACGCGAGCGAGAGCACGGCGGCAAGTAGCGCGCTATGTATGCGCGCGGGAATTACGCGAGCGCCGATGGGAACGCAGTTGTGCGACCCGTTCGTGCCGCAGGCCCGTATACATATTCAAATTGAATTATACGCGCTACCAGACGCGTTGATTCGAAATCATTCGACGGCTCGGTATCTCCAAAACAAGCCAGTATCGCGCCCACCGCCCCATCTCGACCCGCCCGCTTTGCCTCCGCGCGAGTTTCCACTTTATAGTACTATCGTTCGCCCTCCTCCTTCCGAACTAATGGAAATTCTCCAAGTTGGCTAAACGCAGTCGTATTTTGCATACGTATCGTAACGGCCGTTGAATGACTTCGTACGACTTCTCGCAATGCTATAATGTGAAGCGCACGCATCGATGTATTTACTATTGCGAAAGTCACGATTCCATGCGCTCAACGAAACGTTATTATATCATATCCGAATATCGCGCAGATCAGAGCCGCTCGGACTTATTTATTTAATAAAACGAACTTGAATCTGAAAAAAAATAAAGGAAACATCTCGCGAAAGAAAAGTTTAAAGCAGTGATCCGTGTTGCCGGTGATAACATCGCGGATGTAGAAAACATCATGTCGAGTCTCGCGATTACGGTCACTCCTCTCCAACGAGAAGGGCGAGTGAATAAATTAAACAGACGCGGGAAGAATCTTCCGTCGTATCTTCCCGTGTCGCTGCGGGAATTATTCTTTTCTCCCTTCCTCACGTCCCCCGGCGTATCTCGCCGCCACTGTTGTTTATCTCATTAAAGGAACGCGGGAAACGGATAATTCCCGGTTGACAAATCGCTCCCGACGTCGCCGGAGTCGGTTCTCCGTCCGCTCCTTTCTTAGAAGCGTAACTTTATCGCGGAGGAAAGAGCGAACGAGGTGGTAACGGAAATGCCGGGCGGAAAGGGGTTTTAAAGTGCCGGCGACGGTAGGCGATGGATAGAGGAGTAACCGGGCACGGCGTTGCCGTCGGATACGGGGCTCCGCTGTAATGGACGCTTTAATTCCAAAGGAGAGTAAATTGCAATTTTTCCGACCGTGCGACGCTGGTTCTGGAACCGCGAGAGACCAGCCGACCGTCCTTCGTTAGCCGTGCCGGCTGTGTCAAAAGAAATATTGTGATTCAATTAAAAAGTACCGTGATACGCGCCGTCTCATTAAAATCTTGAAACGCTCGCAGTTGACGGAATGACATTTAGCGACGAGCCAAATAAAGAATACATGGCGTTTTTCATACGAAAGAGTTGTAAATGTAATTTCTTCCTATTAATTCAACGGCGAAAAGCGATGTGAAGCATTAAATGTGTTTGTCGAGTCCACAAAAATATTTTCAGTATATGTATTTACGTCTGAGAAATGTCTTTTCAGTCCGATTCGAACTGCAAACCGTAAAATAGAAAAGGACGAGGTCGGATTATTCTTAGTTTGATCTACTTTTGCAAATTTAGGTAATCGTATTTGATTTCTTGCTTAATTTGTGCGATATAAAATAAATTATTGTTTCTATTTTTAGAATTAAGATCTATCTTCTCTGTCTAATGATATCCTTGCGAATTGTATCTAATTTGTTTATCATCGAATTTTATTCGCGCTAATTCTTTCTGCACAAATATTCAGCTTCCTTTTATTCCGTAACACAAATTATAATTTGAAAATTTTAATTAAAATTAACAATGTGTTTACTCAAAAATGCTGAGCGTGAGAAACAAGTGCCGAATGTAAGAAAAATATTGGTATCATATTCCCATTTAATTTTATATAAATTTCAGTTTAATTACATTTGTTATGTTGAATATTTATTCAAATAAGCGTATGCATTGTATCGCATTACGTCGATGTAACCTGCAAAAACGATGGAAATTTTCATTATTTTAACGCAGCCACAGATTCCATTCGTTGTTAACACATCATATCGAGCAATGAGATACAAGCTCGCCTTTACACCGGGTTCGGCCTACCTACCTCCACCAAGTTCGAAATGTGTATACATCAGCACGCAGAAGAGAGCACGGATGGAAACTCATTTAAATTAAATTAATATTTGCCGTGCGGCCGGACGCGAGAGAGGTCGCGCAATCGCACGCATGATCGGACGGCGCGCGAGCCTGGGATTTCGATACCAAAA